TAGTCTCTCCACCATATTAACTTGAGATTCTAGTTTTTTGTGTAAAGAGGTGTGTATTACCTCAGAAGTTAACATTTTCCTTACCTGAAATTGTATTTCTGATAGATACCTCTTTACACACTTCCTTCCCACTTCTTGTGCAACATTGTATTCCTTGCTTCATTCTAGAATGAAGATCACGAGTGCAAATACATGGAGGGAGTTAGTACACAGAGAAGTTGTGTTGCCTTCCTATTGGTGAAGAGCTTTTGCTGAATAATAATGTTATTATGCAGTAGCACAAATTAGGAGAAATTTCATGAGTTTAAGTGGGAGTTGCCTAAAGGCTAGTGGCATGCAAATCTCTAAAGCATGGGGAAGTTAACTTTTTGTGAGTATCTATTGGAAATACATTTTCAGGTAAGGAAAATGTTAACTTTTGTCATGGGACACTTTAAAATTCCTGTTTTAATTGATGGTGAATGGGAAATCTAGATATTTGTCTGTATATATGCAAGTTTTCAGTAAAGAAACCCATGGGTGTTTCATTTCGAATTTTATAGAATTTGTTGCCCCATCTAAAATAACTATAGAGTTCATACAGAGATGCAGTAGTTGTTCTAATGAAGTTACATGCAAAGAGTAAAAAGTAGTGTCCACTACCAATTTTTTTAAGATGTATTTGATGGCATCTTGAACTAACAGGTTAAATACAATAATACTTTATTATTGACATTCTGATCTTTTGATTGGTTATTCATGTGATATACATAAGTAAGTGTATACAAGAGACTGTTTCCAAAAATGGAAAGAGGTGAGCAGGGCCATTGAGTTAAGATTCAGTACATGAGTGATATCTCACCAGATAGAAAAGACAGGAGGTTCTTATTCTATATTATAGCTTGTCAGTATCAGTAATTTGAGCTCCTAATTCGTATGAAACCGCAGATTTTGTATTCTTACATCACAAACATCTAATTTGAACCAGTGCTACATTCAACATATCATGTGACACACAAAAATCAATATTCAAGTGTTTTTTTAATATTTACTTTTAAATTAAGAAATTGAATAATGTATAATACTAAAATTTGAATTAAAATCTACAGTTTGATATCAAACTTATTGACACAAACTCATAAAGTAGTAGTTCAATAAAATCTTGAATGCAAGTCAACAAACACGATGACATGGCGTTTGACCTGTGGTGATAGGGTTAAAGACAACTTATAATACATGACAATTTAGACTTTCTACTCTAATTTCAAACAAGAAATTATTACTATCTGATTGCTCTATGTTCCTGTAACTTTCAACTGAAATAAGCAAGTTTATGTGATGAACAATTTTACCTGTCAAAAGCCTTTACTCGACCTAGAAGCTTTTTATTATTCCTGCAGTTTATTAAAACCTGGGTATTATTTTTAACAGACTGAGTTAAAACAGACATTGGACCAGTGTTGAACTCCTCATCTTCCCTTTTTGCCAGTTCTTCTGGTGTCATCTCACTCTTGGGTTTTTGAAGAAGTCTGAAATTGACATAAAAATCTATTGTAAGATAAAATGAAGTCAAATATTTAAAAAATTCCAACACAACAAAATATGTTCGCTAGTGGCTTTCTCAGCCGATTTAAAAGAGGTAGGTTGTGTCTTTAGTCTGCTCGAAATTTAATATTTTTTAGACCAAAATACAGCTTAGTTACTACACTTGATAAATTATAATAGAATTCTGTGGTATCGATATAGTAATTTATGATTTTTTGGTTATTCAAATGTATATATAAAACCTAAAAATGTATTTTGTTTCACATCCTCCACTTAACCTAATATTAGCAAGCTATGAGAAGCAGCAACCGAGTACAAAGGTCATAACAAGAAGAGATAATTGTTTGCTTTAATGTTATATGTTTTAAGAAAAATAAGTTTAAGAACTTGTTTGTAAATAGTAATAATCTATAATAATTAAATGTGACTGTATTTTACAAAATACTAGTCCACTAAAACACAGCCAAGACAAGTCAGTTTTATACTATTGGATACGGTAACATGAGTGTATGTGCACCATGTCATTGTAACTTCTGTATTGTTAGCCAGACATGGATGAGAGGTCAATATAAATGTATAGTGTTGTGAGATTTAAGCTATTTAAACTAAACATTTGTGTTATAATTTGTAGTCATTCTAGAATGAAAAAACGCATAATTTATATTTATCTCATTTTTTATGGTGGTTACGAGGTAGGTCAAATTGATAGACCCCATATAGTCAGGGTAGAGAAAATACCATACAAAATATAAAGTTTTACTGAAAACAAACATTTGAAATGTATTTAGGAGGAAGAATAGTTCTTAAATCATGACATGAAAAATTACTTTGCACTTAGGCTAGTAATGAAACAGACTTTGTTTTCACAAACAAATCTTTAGTAAAAATACTTCATTAAAAAATCTGATTTTTTGTGCACATACGACTTGAAATCATTACTAAAAGTCCACCAAATTTTGTGAGGATACACATATAGTATAAATACTTAACATGTTCACATGTGCATACTGAACCCATCACTGAAGCAAATACGGAAACATAGTTTAACTATAATATATAATTTAACATAAGAAAACATATGCTACAGTTATGTTAATACAGTAAGTTATTTATATTTAAGATTCCCAGTTGTTGTTTTTCGGGCTTGGTGACAATGTGAAATGTAAAAAAAAAGGCCTATATATATAAGGTATGCTGAGAAATTAGTTTCCATTCCTTGGGAAGGACACGATTTGACAGAAAGTATGGTGGTCTCCTTCACTCATGATGTTTTTCCAACCACTGTTACATCAGCATTTATGTTAACTGGAATATTGCTGGTAATATTCTTCCAGGACCAAACAAAATGCATCAACAATTCCTGGGACTGAAAGGTTTTTTTTACAGGCCTATATTTATAAATCTGTATTTTTGACAAAAAATGGTGGAAAAGAAAAATGTTTTTTTTTTACAAAAACATCATGCTATCTGAAGTGTTTGATTATGACTTTGAAATCCATTTAAGCCATTTTCATGAAAACAATACTGCATAATAAATACTAACCTCGGTGGGAAGGTAGTAGCATGTGCTATTATTGAGCATTATACTGTATATCAAAGAAGCATTGCTGTTTTAATTTCTTGCATTTTTTTATGCATATGTTTAACAATGAATTTTTTGACAGTACATTTAATAGTAATTTCAGTCATCTCTTCCTAGAGGTCATACAAGACATTAGATAACTATAATTAGCATTATAAGTTTATATACAACCTTAACTGCTAGTAAGTTAACGTAATAGCTAAATTAATTTGTATTTTGGTAAACCTGTAGTATTTATCCAGGTCGGTCCTCTTTTCATTTTGTTATTTCTGTATATTGTATTAATCTGACCCAGTCCTTGTTTAGTGTTATCATCTCTTTTTGAGTAGAATGCCATTCATACTACTTAAGAAATAATGTTCAACATTGTGACTTAAACAAAAGTATTAACTATTGAAGATATAATAGTTTTTATAGTAGTTTCTGTTCAAGTAATAAAGTGCAAATGTAACCAGAATTATTTGGGTAAGATAAGTTGTTTGAATTAAAGAAGTTTGCACAATTTATTTATTTGTATTTTTGTTGTGTAGGCACTGTAACATGGTTTTAGAAAATGTAAAGGAGATGTGGACTGAAATGCCAAAAACTGGTAAAGGAAAGAAGAAAGCTAAGCCTGTGAACAAGGATAGATACATTTCTAAAATGTTTCTCCGAGGTGATTCTGTGATTCTGGTTTTGAGAAACCCGCTAGCTGGCCAAAGACCTTGATATATAGAAGATACAAATCTTGTGTAGAACTGCGTGTGTACAATTTTTATTAAAATGTTTATGTAGAATGAACTGTTCTTTATACAATTTGAAAGTCTTAAGTAGAGCTATTAAAACAGTAGAATAATACAGATACACGAATTGGAAAGATTTTAAGAATAAAAGCTCACTTAAACAATACAACTTTGTGAGGTATAAAATCATAAATAATATTCAACGTTAAACTGGT